CTGGTGGAAGCGACAATATTTGGACTGGTCTTTCCGGTTGGAAGGGGTCCGTGAAGGCAGAGGCCATTTGAGGAGGTAATCCCGTTGGATCTAGTAGAGGACTTGTTCCATAGGAGAATTGAGGGGCGTGTATCGCTCGAACCGACCGGGCGGTCGGGCCGGTGCCGACCGGTCAGTGCGAGGAGGTCGGTCGGTCGGGATATTGGGGTGTTTGGCTGTTATACTGGGTGTTTCTGGGTTCCGAGTCTTTTCTCTTTTCTCTAGGGGTCGGGTTTTTGGATATTGGATCTTGCCGAGCGGCTAGTGAATCTTCGACATTCATATATTTCTGGGCTTTGGATAATAGGGCTGCCATGGAGGTCGGGGGGTTTTTGGAGAGGGAGAAAAGGAAATCGGACGATCACAGCCCGGCCATGAAAGCCATGAGGATGACCTTATCGTCTTTCTCCGCTACTTGTAGGGCTTCGGTGTTGAAGCGGGTAACGAAGCTACGTAGCGACTCCCCCTCGGTCTGACGGATGTTGAGGAGTTGGGTTGCAGGGCGGCGTTGGCGCTGGGCTCCAATGAAATGGCTGAGAAAGGAGTCGCTGAGATGCTGGAAAGTGGAGACAGAGTCCGCTGGTAACTGACTGAACCATAGTCGAGCTGACCCCTTCAATGTCACGGGGAAAGCCTGACACATGATCTCGTCAGGGAAGGCATGGAGGATCATGAGGGTACAGTAGGTCTCCAGATGGTCGACTGGGTCTGTCGTATCGTCAAAGGAGTCAATGGTGGGCATCTTGAACTTGGCGGGCAAAGGTTTGTCCCGGATTGAGGCAATAAATGGTGAATTTGCCGTGGTAGAGGGTTTATGCTGAATGTTCTGCATGACCCCTTGGAGTTGGAGCTTCATTGCTCGAAGCTCAGCGTCCCAGAGGGAAATGTGGTCACCATAGTCAGTCAATAGAGGTTGAACGCTGCTGGCCTCCCCTTCAGGGGCTGGTGCTACGACCGACGGGTGTGGGGGTGGTAGTGGTGGATTTATGTGTGAGTGGGAAGGTTGCAAACCTTCCAGGTTGGGTGGATGGAGTTGTGAAGCAGTATGGCTCGGGGTTCTTTCTTGGTTTGGGGGAATATCTGGAGGTGGTAGAGGAGAAATCGGAAGGTTCCTTTGGAGTAAAGCATTTATCAAGGCCTGGTTTTGCTCAGCCATGTGGTTGATGCTGTTGGTAAGCTCGATAAAGTACTGTGGTGGGTTGTTTGGATTGGGGGGGTCGACTTGATGGTCGGCAGCATTATTGTGAGAAGCCATGGATCTAGTCGTGACCATGCACTTTGACAGATAGGAAAGAGAGGTTGTTAGAACGAGGTCTCCGACGACAGTGAGCACAACTGGCACGAGGAGGAAGGCGTTCCCACAGACGGCGCCAACTGATGATGCTGTTCGTCCTAGTGAATGGATCGGGCAAGTCCAAGCTTCTCAAGCCCGCGTCCAAATGATCAAGCCCACCGGATAACCTGCAAGCAAGTTCAACGGGGAACGAGGTAGTCCCCCAGTGAACCCTCCGACGAGCAAGTTAGGAAGAGAAGTAATGTGTAGAGGGAGAGGTTAGAGATAGAAAAGCTTAACCTTCTTCTTGTCTTCAACGTTTGCTTATATCCTTTGGTAATTATTTCGCTGTCTCTTCCAACCTGCCCTCCTCGCCGAAAGTCTATGCTGTAGCTTACCTTGTTCAGGGTGAGAGGACCCTGTTCCGACGGGAGGTGTTGTCGTAATAAATGCCATGACGTGCTGCATTAATGGTGATGTGCAGTGGCAATAACTTTACAGATCTTTGTCTGCTGATGTGGCTCGTCCTTCACCCGTCACGTGCCTGAATGCCGTTAGTTCTTGATGTCATATTGGATTCCAGCTGTTCTGAACTCTATTAGCTGGGTTATGTATTGGGCCCCGATTGATGGGCTTGGATTGTTTATAGTAATTCATAGCCTTTGTGGGCCTGTCCATGTCATAACTAATTATACCTATTTATTGTCCCTAGATACAATCAAATTAAGCCAATGACTTGTGCAAATATTTTTATGTATGATATTTGATCAAAAGTAAAAATGAGTTAATGTCAAATAAGAAATTTCATTCAAATGCTTATATCATTAATCTTTTCTAGAACTACTCAAAAATCAGATTCATGTGGAACAAAAAGAATAATATATATATATATATATATACTTTTATAAAGTAAAACTAAGGAACGCATAATAAATTTTCAGACAATGTCAGAATTTTCCAGTCTATTAGTTTTCTTGATCCCACCATGTGTTCCCTTTTTATTTGTTTCTAACAGTTTGACATATCCAGAAAAATTGTTATCTTGCGATTGTAGAAGTCGTTTCGAATTTTATTTATGTTTTGAATTTTATATTTCTTATTTTAATTTTGAAATCCAAATTATGTTATTTCAATTTTATTTATATTTTTCCTGACCTAAATAACTTTTTTCTTTCCTCCAACAGTACCTCCCAACAAGATTGATCAAAATCAAAATTAAAATTATAAATGCTCCAAAACCAGTTTAACTCATTTATCAGTTGAACTATTTAAACACTCGTATGCATCTCACTAGGCACAGAATGAGGCAGTGGAAATCATAGAAACTGCTCAATTCATAAAATGACATTAAGTTGTGTTTAGATTAATACATTTGAAACAAAAGGTAAAAGATATTAATTATTTAAGAATAACAACTCAAATTTATATATTGATAGTTTAGGCATGGATTTCAAAATATAATAAGTCGGTTTTTAGGTATGTAATTATTCTAACCTAAATAACAATATTAAATCCAAACACTTTGTAAGTCCGGCACAATTAGATGGAAAATTATATAGTGATTTTGAGACAAATTTATACGGTATTCTAATATAATTTTTATTAATTGAAATAATAAGTGTTCATAATTTTGTATTAATTTTAAAAAGACGCTATAACAATGTTATGTGATGAATAAAATCATCAAATAAACTCACTATGACCTTTACTATCTATCAATCAACAATACACAAACACAAATATAAATATGCTTGTTTGGGCATGCACAAAAATAAACTTGCCGTCTTTCATACGCAGCAATGACTTGATGACAAACTACAACAGTCCATCAATTGATGAAAAGAAAGGTCAGAACAACTCATATGAATACTTACAAAAATAAAATAAAAAGTAAAGGGTTCACTTTCTCTCCAGTGGATAATGAGAAAAGCTGGATCGTCTTCTTCTGCCTATTTTCAGTCCATCTATTTTCAAGACACTTATGTATAAATTATTAATTAAAAAAATAATAATAAATTGATTTGTTACTCAGAACTATACAATTTTATCACATTAATTATATATATATAAATAAATTAAAAATTAAAAACTATCCATTTCCAAACTTGAATTAAAATTTTGATAGAATAATACTTCTATTTCATTTCATTTTAACTGAGAGCAATATTCTTAATTTACGGTAAGAACTACAATATTATTAGGTGAGTGGGAGACAAAACTTTTCACCTAACCCTATTTGTAGTGTTTTAGTGGTTGTGACATCATATAAGATGGTATTATCGTTACACTTAATATTTTATGTATTTCAATAAACCAAACACTACCTTAATTTCAATATATTTTTTCAAGGCCTCGTTTGGCAAGTGGCTATTTTACCCAAAAAGTCAAAAATTACTAAAAAAATCAAAAAGCCAACAACTCATACCAAAAAGTCAAAGATTCTATTTTCTCTTTACTTTTTGCACATCTTTTCGTAAAAAGTCAAAAAGTCATCACAAACATATTAGTTTTTTTATATCACATTTTAGCCAAAAAATCAAAAAATTACTAAAAAAATTTGTTCTCAAATGAGGCCTAAACATAAATTTTGTAAACCACAATAATTAATGGTCTAATCCCTATCCTCAAACCCGCCAAACAAACATGGGCTATGGGCTATTAGTTTAGTGAGTAGATCATAACATCAAACACATTTTGACATGTTTGTTTGGAGGGACATGGTTATGAGATTGAACAAATAATCTAACAGAATGTATAATCTCATATTTGGCTAAGAAAATTGAGATTCAGAATAATAGTCCATTTGGACTTATTATCCTCAACTACTAAATCCTAAAAGGAGGGTAAGATACAAAATGAAGGATTAAAAGAGAATTAATTACCTAAAAATCTTATTTACAAATGTTATGGTAGTTTAAGTCCTATCTAAGATTTTTTGAACCAACAAATCCTATTTAGTAAAACCGGGAACATTAGTTTTTCTCCTGTTTAAAGCTAAGAACATGATCAATTTTGCATAGTAATATTACAGATAATTGTTTCACCAACTAAGAAAAAAAAATGAGATTAAGCATTTTTGTCTTTCTATTTATCGTCTGATTCAACTATCCAATAAAACCAAGAACATAATCAGTTTTTTCCAATTTTAAAATTGAGAACATTATCATTTTTGAAGTTTTTTCTTTTTTTTTCCAATTTTGCACATCAATATTTCATCATCATGCTCAGACACAAAATTTTTAGTTTTGCACAAAAGAATTCAATTTTTTCAACAAAAAAAAAAATATAGTTTTTTTTTTTTACACAATTTTTTTAGTTTTTTTAATTTGAAAGTTAATATTTTAAAGTTTTGAAAATCAAAATAAATATCAATCATAAATGATGAACAATCATAAATGATGGACAATCGCTGTTTGAAGGGCAATTCTGACTATTAAAAATTTAATGAGATTTGAAAGTCCAAAAAACTTAGGTAGAATTTAATGGAGTTTAAATTCATAAATTAAGACTTGGGTAAATGTCAAAAAAAAAAAAAAAAAAAAGATTCAAACTATCAATCTAATCTTATTATCTCGAGTCAAACCAAATATAAATACGATACACAATCTAAAAAAATTGATAATTCTAAAACTAGTAATCTCAAAAGAATGTTAATGTGTTTCAATCTAATCCGTCCAAACAAATATGAAGATTGTGTCATCTTTCAGGAGATGAAAGCTATGGACTCCTCAATAAAAGATTGGTTCATCAAGAAAAAAAAGAAACCAAAATAGCAAACCCTTCTAAAAAAATGAAGAACAAAGCAGAGCTTGTGTTTGTGGCAACCCCTGCAATGGGTCACCTTGTATCTATAGTAGAGTTAGCCAAACACTTACTTGATCGACACGAACATTTCTCCATAACAGTCCTCCTTATCAAACCATTCTTCCGTCCTTCCTACAATCTCTATGCTGATTCACTCGCCGCCTCCGAAAGCCGACTGCGCTACATCCACCTCCCTCCTCCACCACCTTCTGAACCAGCAGTCCCCAAGTCTCCGGAGAAGTTTATCTCTGATTTCGTGGAAAGCCATAAATCACAGGTCAGAGAAGCAATCGTCAACCATGTGTTGTCATCTTCTCCGCCGACGGCGAGGCTGGCGGGGGTGGTGGTGGACTTTTTTTGCACCGCCATGATCGACGTCGCCAATGAATTCGCCGCCCCTACTTACCTATTCTTTCCTTCCAGCGCCGCCTTTCTCGGCCTCATGCTCCACCTCCCAATCCGCCATGCCCTGATTGGAACGGAGTTCACCGTCTCAGATCCGAACTCGGTCACTCACTTCCCGAGTTACGCTAACCCGGTCCCTACCTCGGTCCTACCCGCCTTTCTATTCAACAAACACGGCGGCTACAACTGCTTTCTCAACCACGCCAGGAGGTTCATAGAGACTAAGGGCATAATCGTAAATACATTCGAAGAGCTCGAATCCTATGCGGTGCAGTCTTTGTTAGTCTCGCCGGAATCGCCACCGGTTTACGCCGTTGGACCGCTGCTTGACCTCACGGGCGAGGCCCGATCGGGGAGCGATCGAGACAAGATCTTGAAATGGCTCGACGAACAGCCTATGTCGTCGGTCGTGTTCCTCTGCTTCGGAAGCGTAGGGTGCTTCGATCCGCCGAAGCTGGCGGAGATTGCGGAGGCGCTAGAGAAGAGCGGCCACCGGTTCTTGTGGTCCATACGGCGGCCGCCACCAGAAGGCGGGTTAGCGATGCCGACCGATTGCGGTGGCGATTACGAGGGCTTGTTGCCGGAAGGATTTCTGAAACGGACAGAAAACAGAGGAATGGTGTGCGGATGGGCCCCGCAGACGGCGGTGCTGGGCCACGCGGCGGTGGGAGGGTTTGTGTCGCACTGCGGGTGGAACTCGATTTTGGAGAGCTTGTGGTTCGGTGTTCCGATCGTGACATGGCCGATCTACGCAGAGCAACAGATGAATGCATTTGAGATGGTGGTGGATTTGGATCTGGCGGTGAAGCTGAGATTGGACTGTAGGGATGAACGTGGTGGAGGCAGCGGCGGAGTTGAGGTGGTGGTGGCGGCGGAGGAGATAGAGAGAGCAGTGAGGGGTGTGATGGATGGTGGGAATCTGGTGAGGGAGAGAGAGAGAGAGATGAGAGACAATAGCAGAGAGGCTTTTATGGAAGGTGGGTCTTCGTTTAGTTCGTTAACTAGGTTGGTTGGTGATATGCTAGGAAGAGAAAAGTTAGGGATCATGAAAATTTTGTCATGAAAATGATCATGAAAAATTTATGATTTTTAGATTATCTTGATTAGTGTGTGGTGTTTTATTCTAAGTGTAATCTAAGGGTCACCAAGCTTTCATGATTATTTTCATGACGAAATTTTCATGATATCTAGCATTGCTTGCTCGGAAACGACTGATCATAGAAAGTTTGTTATAATTATTGGAGGGAAAATTATTTCTTCCTTAAATTCACTTTATATTTCAATCATCAATTAGAATAATTATCCTTGATGTGGTATTTGGATAAAATCCGTTTGTTGATATAATATTTTCAATGATCAATTTGAACAATTATTCATTTTAACGAAATATATAATACTTGTTTGTTGATATAATATTTGAATGATCAATTTGAACAATTTTCATTTTTACTGAAATATAATATAACACTGGTTGATATGAAAGAGATAAAAAGACAAATATACCATATCATACAACAAAACATACAAAATTATTTTTAAAATGTGCAACATAACACAAAATTCAACTAAATGTAATAAATTACTGTCTATAAAATAACTAAATTAGACAAATCATGTGCACAAATATTTGTGTGTATGAGCATGTAATATTTGATCAAAAATATTATGCAAAATGAACTAATATCAATAATTTTAGAAAAAAATTGTTCAATTTGACAGCTCGAGGGTTAAGTGTAATAATTGAAGAGGCAAGGTGAATTTTTTTCAATTTTGAACAAACTGTTGTCACTGTAAGATAAATTGGAAAAAAGCTTGAAAAACTAGCTTGAAGATTTATTTATATCAATCTTTTCTAGAGTTATTCCAGCAAGAAAACAATAATGTCACCCAAAGTACAGAAACAGCAAGAAAAACAATCAGTTAGGCCTCATTTGGAAACCCTCCCTTTTAATCAAAAAATCAAAAAGTTATTAAATTAGTCAAAAAGTCAACAGCCCATACCAAAAAGTCAAAGATTCTCTTTTCTCTCTACTTTTTGCACATCTTTTCGTAAAAAGTCAAAAAATCATCCCAAACATACTAATTTTTTTTTATCTCATATTTTAGCTAAATAGCCAAAAAATTACTAAATTAGCATGTTCCCAAACGAGGCCTTAGTTACAAATTCAGTTCATACAGCGATACAAAAAGTACAGAAACAGCATACAAGATCTGTTCTTTTTTTAACAAACCCAAATTCTTTCCAAATTTCTTAATGATTCCAAAGAACTCGACTTTCGTAAAAATAAAATAAAATAAAATAATAATAAAAAAAAAAGCTCAGCAGAAAGGAGAAATAATCTCATTCAATAGCCATGTTTTCTGCCTCATGCCTAAAGGAGTCGAAAAGTATTGTTGACAGATAACGCTCTCCGAAGCTGGGGAAAATAACCTGACAGTAAGATAAATATATGAAAATTTTCAGTAGTTTCTTAAAAAATAAAAAAAGAAAAGAAAAGTGCAAAAAATAACATTCATATGATTAATAATACTAAAGTTAGCTGTCCACTAATCACAACCTCCAGTTCTGTCTTTCTATAGAAATGCAAAACACACACTAGGCTTGAGAAAAATCAGATTCATGTAATACCCTTTTTTCCATGAAGTAAAAAGAAGAGATAATAGATTTTCGGATGATGTCAAAATTTGCACCTGTTTGAAATTATTTAATGATCAGTCTGCCAGTTTCTGTGATCTCACTCTGTTCCTTTGTCCATTTGCTTCCACTAGTTCGATAACCAAACCAAACCAAACCAAGCCTTAAGTCCTATCAAATGGGGTCGGCTACATGAATCCTTCTTCTCCACGCGGCCCTATCAAAGGCCATTTCATTAGTCAAATTAAGTAGATTCATATCTCTATTTATAATGCTAGTCAACGTTAATCTAGGCCTACCCCGTCCCCTAACACTTCCATCTATCGTTACAGCATCGCATCTCTTCACTACTGTCTCTGTTGGTCTCCGTTGAATATGACCAAATCATCTCAAACGATTCTCTCTCAACTTATCTTCTATCGGTGCTACTCCTACCCATTCCCGAATACACTCATTCCTAATCCTGTCCTGTCTAGTCTTACCACACATCCACCTTAACATCCTCATCTCAGCCACACTCATCTTATTTACATGTTGTTTCTTGGTCTAATAGCCGTTCTATAGAACTTACCTTTTAGTCTAGTGGCTTCCACTAGTTCGATCTAACTAGAAAATTTACCGGCCTATGAATATGGTTTCGATCATTTCAGTGATGCCAATCATCCTCATCTCAGCCACACTCATCTTATCTACATGTTGTTTCTTGGTTGCCCAACACTCCATTCCATACAACATAGCTGGTCTAATAGTCGTTCTATAGAACTTACCTTTTAGTCTAGTGGCTTCCACTAGTTCGATCTAACTAGAAAATTTACCGGCCTATGAATATGGTTTCGATCATTTCAGTGATGCCAATTTTGTCTTGTTTCAATTTTATTTATTATCGCTGATCCGAAAGTAACCTTTTCCTTTCCTTTGGCAGAACACATTTCCCAACAAGATCGATCCAAATCAGGATTAAAATTACAAACGCTCCTAAACCAGTTTAACTCATTTGTCAGTCAAACTATTTAAGCACTAATACACATCTCATTGGGTAAAATTTAACCTAAATCATTTCATTTAAAACTTATATATCCAAACGAAACCTTAGTTGTTGCCTGAAGTATCGCCAAAGGATTCTGATGTAGTTATTAAAAAAGATCAATTCACAGCAACTTACAACAATGAGTTGTCCGGCATTTTCTGGCCTCTTTGCTATCTTTATTGCAGCAGCAGCAGCAGCCCCTGATGAAATCCCTACCTGCAAATCATGTTTCCAAAAACATGGTCAAAAATTGGATTCTTATAAAGGCAAGCAACGACAAGGCAGCAGCCACTTCTAAAAAATCTTGCTTATCCATATACATTTTGTTTCTGATTTTATGAGCGATTTCTGTGTTCCTATACCTAATTCAGACAGGAATTTGGGAACTACATCAGTGACAACCACAAGAATGCAGTGATAGAAATGCATATGAGACCGTTACAAGTGATCTTAATTAAGTAGGAGGCATGTACCAGTAAACCTTCTTTCAGTGCAAGAAGTTTAGCAGTTTCAATAGATTCTTCACTAGACACCTGAAACATTACAAAAACACTGAGGTTAATAAATAAAAAATAGAAATTTGTTAACATAATTCATACCCTACATATGATTAAGGATCCAATTCCTACATATCCGCTTAATGGATTGAGCTCAGAGTCAAGGTGAGCACCAGCAAGAAATTTCACATATCAATTAAACTAAATGCCCAATGTTCAACCGTCAAGGCTTACTGTAACAACTTCATCAAGAATGTTGACATCCAAAATACTAGGGATGATACCAGCACCTATTCCTTGGATCTTGTGCAAACCTTCAACATGAAAGCAAAGCATCCCATTACAAAACCGACAATGTAAGAGAAATTTATCCATTAGAACTGCTTGATCAAGAGAAAACAAATAAATTTGAAAGTCAATTTGAATTGTTAATAAACATCGCATTCACAAGAAAAAGAAAATTGAGAAAGACAAGAAAAAAAAAAATCACTACTGCACATGATATGATAAAAGAACAACATTACTGCTACTATTGATTGACCCAGTTACCAAGAAAACTTGTGTCAAAAACAAAATTCCATCCGAACAGAATTATTAATGTAGAACTCTTTAGAGAAAGAGAAGAAAGAGAGGGGAGGAAGTAGAGGACCACAGTCCTAACACAATCGCCACAACCTAAAACACTTAAATCCTTATCATTCAAAACTAACTATTACAATGCAAATACAGGCTTGAAAACCTAATCAAAATAGGAAACGAAATCATAATCTAGACTCCTAATAAAATTTAATTAACTTAGGAAACTAATTCCTAACAGAAAATTAAGCAAATATTAATAAAACTCCTAACTAAAAGAAGACTCTTAATTAAACTAAAATTAAAAAAGAAAAATAAATAAAATAATAAATACTAGAGACAATTATCCATGTATGCACATTCTACATCAGAGATGGTAACTTTTCTTTTTATTAGTGAGACACATTTACTATTTTCTCGACTCTCAACCATGAGATCGAATCATGCACCTTCCCCTTTGGGGGTGGCAAGAGAAACCACTCAAGTAACAGGTGGTGGTACGAAATAGTACATATATTTTTTAAAAGAGAAATAGTAACATATACTGAAAGGCAGAAAATACATCATCATACAAATAAATGAAAAAAAAAGAATTGCCCAAGGCATAAGCAGGAAAAGCTAGATTCTATTATGCCATCACTAATGCACTTGCGAGGGTGGAGGGCATGTTGAGTGTAGTGTGGTTGAATCAAATTCAGAATTGACTCATGATCAAGTAAGCACCTTATGAACATGTTCAAGATGGGTTAACCAAGAACGGATGTGTTCTTCTGAGCCTATGCAATCCAATTTGTTAGCTTGGCAAAAAATGGTGCTGGTGTATGATGATAGATGAACACTTCAAAATGTATGCACAATACACAACTCAACATGGTTATGTGCACAATTTCAAAATTTCTACAGCTGGAAATGTACCCAGTAGGATTTGATATAAAGCAGCATAACATCCAAAATGTTAGTTCAGAAGAGATTCCCAGCAAAAACTTCCTTAATCTGCTTCCTCCATTATATCAAGCTCAGTGGAATAACCTATATCAAACACCCTACAAGGACATTTTACTTTTTCTGGGCATACAGGAAAATATGAGTATGCATTCATGTCCCACATTCTGCTGTCTGGAAATTTGACATCTCCAACACCTAGAAGCAGCTCTGTAGCTGACAAACCTATCCACGCCCATATAACTTAGCTGCTTCTATATTTTTCATATAAGAAAGCCTACAATATAATTTGTACATTCAGTTTGAAAAGTTGATCTAAACAAATTTAGAAGTTGCATTTTTTAAATTGTGGCGATTGGTGAACAAAAGCATCTTCAATATTTAACTATCATACTCCACAAACTTTCTGAAGTTCTCATACATTTGCTTATAGAAAGATATTTTTGCAAGCCCATTGAGAGGCATGTTGTGATGGCTGCAGAACAAACGCCTCCTGTTTTCAATAGCTTAGTGCCAAGCTTAGTGCTGCTAAAGATTGGAATATTAAATAATTGGTTAAGCTCAGCTTGCTTAGAACTTAACCAGTGTGAACAAACCAAGTAAAAAGAGAAGCTTGACCGATTAGGTACCTTGTTGATGATGATACGTGGACACATGCTACCACCTAGAAACTTGACATAACGCTACTTGATAAATTTCATGACAATTCAAATTAATCTCTGCGAACTGATGTCCC